GCGCCCAAGTCGGTCTTTTTTCTCAATTGTTTTGATGAGAAGTCTGCTGTCATTCAACGTGTTTTCCCCATAAAAAAAGGTGTTGTGCCCGGGCGCGGGTGGCTCAGCCTGTAATCCCAGCACTTGGGAGGGCCGAGACGGGTGGATCACCGAGGGTCCAGGAGATCGAGGACCATCCTGGCTAACACGGTGAAACCCGTCTCTACTAAAAAATAAAAAAAACTAGCCGGGGCGAGGTGGCGGGCGCCTGTAGTCCCAGCTACTGGGAGGCTGAGCAGGAGAATGGCGTGAACCTGGGAGGCGAGCTTGCAGTGAGCTGAGATCCGGCCACTGCACTCCAGCCCAGACGACAGAGCGAGACTCCCTTCAAAAAAAAAAAAAAAAAAAAAGAGTGGTTTTCCTCTGGCACTTTCATAATTTTTTTTTCTTTTAGTTTCAGAAGTTTATAATGCAGCTTGGACAGATGTATGTAGTTTTAAGCTATTTGAGTTCACTAAACTTACAGAATCTGTAGCTTTATCTTTCTTGTCAAATTTGAGAATCGTTTAGCAGTTATTTCTTCAAGTACTTTTCAGCCTCCCTTTTTTTTTTTTTTTTTTTTTTAAGACCGAGGTCTTGCTCTGTCTCCCAGACGTGCCAGTGTAGTGGCAACAGTCTTGGCTCACTGCAACCTTCGCCTCCCATGTCAATCATTCTCTTGTCTCAGCCTCCCAAGTAGCTAGGACTACAGGTGCTCGGCCACCCACACCTGGCTAATTTTGTATTTTTTAGGTAAGAGACAAGGTTTCGCCATGTTGACCAGGCTGGCTTCCTATAAAACGTCCCGACTCAAGTGGTTTACCTGCCTCGGCTTCCCAAAGTGCCTGGGATTACAGAGTATGAGCCACGGGCCCAACCAGCCCTTTTCTTTCTCCTCCCCTCTAGAACACAGATGCCAGCAAAAGTGAGAACTGTTTTGTTATCCCAATGGGCCCTGATGTTCCTTCTTTTTGTCCAGTTTGTCTTTCTCTCTGTTGTTCCTGTTGTTTCTTCCATTCACTGCTTCTTTCCTCTGTCCCTTCGTCCTGCTGTGAGCCCACCCACTTATTGTGGTTTTTTTTTCAGTTTTGAATTTTTATTGTTTTACTTTATATCTTTTTCCTGTGGCTTCCTTTCTTTGTGGATGCTTTCCCCTTTTTCCATTAGGCTTTCAGCTGTTGTTGTAATTGCTTGTTGAAGCATTTTTATGAGGGACTCCCTTTAAAATCTTTTTTGTGGATATGGACATTCCGTCATCTGGAACCATCATCCGTTAATGTCTTTTTTCATTTAGCTTGAGATCTTCCTGTGTTTTTGGTATTACGAGTCATTTCTGATTGAAAACAGGGCATTTGCACATTAGGTTATGAGACTGGGTCTTGTTTAAACCTTCTCTTTCAGTTGGCCTTCTTTGACATTTCTCTGGCTGGGGAAGTTGGGGATGTTACCTCATTACTGCCAGGTGCAGGTAGAAGTGTCAGCTCCCCACCAGGTCTCTGTTGACACCTGAGGGGCCTAGTCAGCCCTGGGCAGAAGTGGCATCCCCTCTCCTTATCTGTTTCTGCCAGCACAGTGCTGGTTTGTTCTTGGTGTGGTGAGAGTCTTCACCCTCCACTAGACCTCTTTTGACAGCACATCAGCTGGAGAAAGAAGGGGAACCTCTTTCTTGCTGGGTAGTGGCAGGATGCAGGCTCCCAGTGTGGTCTGCACTGCCTTAGTGGCAGCGGGTTGGGTGGGGATGAAGCCTCAGCTCCCTATTTGGCCTTCTCTGAAGCTCCTAAGCAGAGGTATTGGGGTCCTTCTTACAGTCTTTCAAGAATGGACTTTAGGACTCCTTCTTCAGCCTTTGATGATGTAAATGGGGTTAGGGCGTCAGTTTTTCTGTGGTATTTGGCTGGAATAGAGCAGTTATTGTCTAAGTGTTTTCTCTCTTACTGGGCTGCCCCTTTTCTAGTCCTTTGGCCAGAGAAAGCAGGCTTTTGTCTCTTCTCTTTTGATCTGCGCATACAGGCATTTCTGGGTTGCTGGTTCCTCAGTTTCATGCCATGGATATAGGAAGGGAAAAGAAAACCCAGGGAACCCACCACTACGTTTTCCCTTGGGAAACATTTGTTTTTTAGAAAATGATCTGGGCTTTTAGTAGTGCTTTGTGGGAGGATTAGGGGAAAGGATGTTTACTCCATCTTACTGGAAGCAGAATTCTTCTAAGCTATTTTTAACTGGTTAAGACTTCATGTATTTAACGGTCTTGTCTAGTAAAATTTCTACTATATGGTATTGGGTTAAAATAATGTATTTCATAGCTAAACTAACATAAGATCAATAATTATTTTCTAAAGGACAACAGATGAGGATGACTTTGCCTGATATAAGAGGGTAAACCTTTTAAATTTAGTTCTGCATTCTGTGCCTAGGTTGGGGCAAACACCATGGATAATCCTTTGTTGAAGTACAGTGCAAAGGATTACTTCTTCAAAGCTGCCCTCTGCCACTTCATAGTAGACGAGTTGAATGCCAAGGTAAGGAGTCCTTCAGCACTGATTGACTGATTTCATCCTTAAGAACACGTACACATTCTCTCTTGTTCTTGGAGTCGTTTCATTGCGATGTTAGTACCAAGAATAAACTGGGTACATTAAAAATAATAGGTCTTTTTCTGTGGTATGTGTCCCAGTTGTAATCTTTTAACAGCTGTCAAAGCTGTTCTCAAAAGTTCCCTAATAGTTTATAGCCATACCACCCTGAACACACCTAATCTCGTCTGATCTCGGAAGCTAAGCAGTGTAGAGCCTGGTACTTGAATGGGGGGCACTGCCTGGGAATACTTAGTGCTATAGGCTTAAATATATGTCTGTATTCACTGGTAGCCACAGTTTTGTTTTTGTTTTTGTTTTTTAGTAGTTTTGCTTTAAAGAAATTACAGGGCCGGGCGTGGTGACTCACGTCTGTAAACTGCATTTTAGGAGGCCAAGTGGGGTGGATCACCTGAGGTCAGGAGTTCAAGACCAGTCTGGCCAACATGGTGAAACCCTGTTTCTACTAAAAATACAAAAAAAATTAGCCAGGTGTGGTGGCAGGTGTCTCTAAGAGCTACTTGAGAGGCTGAGACAGGAGAATCACTTGAACCTGGAAGGCAGAGGTTGCAGTGAGCTGAGATCGCGCCTCTGCACTCCAGCCTAGGTGACAGAGTAAGACTCTGTCTAAAAAAAAAAAAAAAAGAAATAAGGAACTAAGGGGGAGGAGGAGACGATAAGAGTAGGATAATATTCATTTAAAAAACAACCAAAAAAACAGGCAAGCTCAGAAACGGTGTTGGAGTGAGGACTGGGAAGCAATTGGAAAGCACAGTGAGCACTGGGAGCCAAGAGGCAAAAAGGCAGGCAGCCTTGGCGTGGCCGGTGTCTGGAGTGGGAAGAGCAGAATTAAAGCCACTAAGAGAATGTTCTTTCTGTCAGCTTTGAGCAGGAAGCTAAATGTAATTTATTTGGAATCTGTACTGTATTAAGAGCTTCTCCATTTAATGGATGGCACAGATACCTGGTCTGTGAGTGTTTACGAATTCATTTTCATTTACACTGTCTTCTCGGCAGCAGCATGACTCAGAAAAAAATGGTTTAGAAATTATTCTTAATTGAAATGGAAAATTCAGAATAGACAGATTGTCTATGTTGATTCTGCTGTTGAGTTTAACTGCATACTTCTTCAGTACTTAATAGGATATAGGTAGATCTTATTTGAAGCTGGTAAAATGTCGAAAGCTTTGTTTAGTAAGTCTGAAATTGATGAGTGGTTTTTCTCTCTCAGCTTGCTCTTGAGAAATATGAGGAAATGTTTCCAGCGTTTACTGATTCAAGAGAATGTAAATTATTGAAAGTAAGTAATACTAGAACTTTGAAGAAAAATGCTTTTGTTCTGTCAGGTGACAACACCTAAGTGGGGTTGGGTATGAAGTGAAGTTTTAATCTATAAAGTCTGCTAACTGAGGGGTCCTGGTACTTTCCTGCTTTAGCATTATAGGTGTTCAAATGCAATTAAGGTCAGAAACATGTAGTTGTATTCTGAAATAGGCACCTCAGAAATGTTAGTACAAAAACTAGATCCCTAACTTGAATCTTGACTTGTATTTGAGTATTTCCGCAATTGTGTGCAATATTTGGCAACATTGGTATTATACTTAAAGTATATATTTAGAAATGGGACTTCATCTTACGGAACTATTTTTTTAAATATTTTTGTGCTACCAGAAACTCCTAGAAGCTCATGAAGAACAAAACAGTGAAGCTTACACTGAAGCAGTAAGTTGTGCTTTTGGGACATGTTACATTATTTGAAGATTTAAGTTAAACTTCTTTTCCTTTTCATTATGTAAAATCTAAACATTTATTTGAACATGACTCCAGCATACCTTGAGTTGTATTTTTCAAAGGTCATCTTTTATATATCACACAAATTAAACAGTTCTATTAGCCATGCTGAGATTTGACTTATATTCAAAAGTAATTTAGCTGTAAGACTAGTTCAGGAGCAAATATTCCATTTATATTCTTATAATTTGCTCTTTTAATTTTTTCTTTTGAAAATAATCTGACCCATAAATAAGTGTAAAGTAAAATTAGTTAAGGCTAGGCACAGCATCTCAGACCTGTAATCCTAGCACTTTGGGAGGCCGAGGCGGGTGGATCACCTGAGCTCAGGAGTTTGAGACCAGCCTGGCCAACATGGTGAAATTCCATCTCTATTAAAAATACAAAAATTAGCTAGGCATGGTGGAGTGTGCCTGTAATCCCAGCTACTTAGGAGGCTGAGGCAGGAGCCTGAGAACCTAGTGGGCAGAGGTTGTGGTGAGTCAAGATCACGCCGTTGCATTCCAACCTGGGCAACAAGAGTGAAACTCCATCTCAAAAATAAATAAATAAGTAAAAAATAAAAATATATATATTTTTAAAATGAGGGTTTTTTCCTTTATAATTTTTGTTTTTCCATCTTTTGCCATGTCATGTTTAGAATTAAGCAAAAAAAATTTTTTTTAATATATTTTGAAACAGAGCCTCACTCTGTCACTCAGGCTGGAGTGCAGTGATGTGATCATGGCTCACTGCAGCCTCAACCTCCTGAGTTCAGGTGATCCTCCCACCTCAGACTCCTGAGTAGCTGGGACTATAGGTACGCACCACCACACCCACCTAATTTGTGTGTGTGTGTGTGTGTGTTTTTTTGAGACAAGTTTTCACCATGTTGCCTAGGCTGGTCTCTTAACTCCTGGGCGTAAGCTATCCACATGCCTTGGCCTCCCAAAGTTGAAGGATCACACCCAACCTCAAGCAAATTTCTCAGTAGCCTCCTGTAACATGTTCATCACAACTCAGGAGTGATAGTGGAAAGGAATGTTTTCCTGTCGAACTTTTTCCTGCCACATCATTTTCATCCTATTGTAATTTTTTTCTTTGATAATGCATTGAAATGTGTTAAAGGAATTCCGCTTCCATACATATTCTAACTTTGCGATTAATGTTTTCCCATGTTCAGTGAGTAATTTTCCATATTACTTTCACATTTTCATGCAATGTCCAGTTTCCTTTGCCACAATAATTATGACTGTTAATGAATTTTCTTTTTACACATGTTTGAAAACAGAGAAATGTCAAGCCCAGGAACTAGTCACTAGTATCATCAAAATAGTAACAGGATAATGAAAAAATAAACAATTTTTTAGTGAAGAAAGTTATAAACCGGAATGATTAATTTCAAATAACGAAGAAAGTTAGTAGATTATAGCTGTAAATGTATAAACAGCTTGGGGTACTATTATTTTGTGTTTTTAATGTATTTACATGGGGTAATTCCTGCTCCTCTTTCTTTATACTAGGTGAAGGAATTTGACTCAATATCTCGTTTGGATCAGTGGCTGACCACCATGTTACTTCGCATCAAAAAGTCCATCCAAGGGGATGGAGAAGGAGATGGAGACCTAAAATGAAATGTTTTTGTCTTTGTGGCATGCAGCTAACTCCTCTTTAGTTTTGTCTTAGGGTCAAGTGATCTTTATGGGATGCCCATTTAATGGCTTAATTTTGTTGCATATGAGCCAGACAGCCTGGGTATTGTTTAAGCTCCCCGAGTCTGTGTTGCTGTGAAATGGATGAAGGGGAGGCTCCTGTTCATCTTGTGGTAATGATGGGTTGTTTCATGCTTATCAGAACCCCCAGCGTTTTCTGAGAAGTACTTCAGAATCTCATTCCTCATATTTCATTGGTATTTGTGGAGCCTATGTTTAATGTTGCCATGTGTTTTTATGTCCTTTTTGTTAGACTTGAGTACTCAGCCCAGTTGTTCTCATAGATGCTTTGCATTTTCTCTGTGCTTTGGCATCTGGATATGTTCTTTAAATGTGTGTTTAGTTTAGAACAGTTACTAGGAATGAGTTTATAACTTTTATTAGAAATCACTTCTATTTTTGTTATCCTGTGATTATTTTGATGGTGCTAGTGACTAGTTTCTTTGCTTTTTGTGTTGTTCCATATGCTAACATGTGCATGGCAAAAATTTAGAATAGCCAGGGTCTGTAGGCATCACATTGTGAGGAAAGGAGCTTTCTGGAAGTACTTGTTTCACGTATGGATGAGTGTCAAAGTGAATTTGATTTGTACTTAGACACTCACACACACACACACCACAAGATCTATTAGAAATGGAATTTCTCTTTTTCTGGAGATAGTTTTCACTTCTAGTTGGAGTGGAAATCCCTTTATATTTGCATTAAAGTATTTTAATTGGCACAGCCTGCTCGTTATTTTCATGTTTATACACTTTCCCACATTGAGGTGGTGTGTTCTGTGCTATGGCTATAGAAATCTTGGTCAGGGCTGGATAGATTAAGTCAAGCTTGAGAATGAATGTATGTAATTTTCCTGTTTATTGCACATGATGGGTTAGGTGGGGTAAATGTGGTACAGGAATGTACTGTATGCCCAAGTGGGCAAGAACCCCAACTTGTTTCTCAGGGGACTTGATTGTTCTCTTAGCTGGTGGAATATTTTGGCTTATGTGTTTGAACTCTGTCATGTTTAATTGGTTTATATATGTATGCTATCTTGATTCATGAACTTGATTCTATTATTTTATATGCTGATATTTAGACTTACTCTTGTCTTCTGAATGTCCTCTGCATATTTTATAGTTAAATCATTTATATTTGAAATGTGTTTGTTGCCATACTTAACCCAGCAGACACTCTGACATCATGGAGCTTCACTGATGACAGATAACGAAACTTTCTATGTTATGTCAGGTAGTAGTAAGTAGTATTGGAATGATGTTTTCATTTTTGATGGCTCTCGGAATTGGTAGGATTTTATTGGACTGAAGTACAGTGAGTGTTTCCAGGCCAAGGGTCAAGTGCAGGTTGTTTAAGAAATGATGAGTAGGTCAGTCTAGGAAGAAAGAGAAAGCAACAGGAAAGGAAGTGGGAAGGGCCAGCCGAGGACAGATTGTAGAGGATCCACATCAGATGGCCACGAGGACTTGCAGGCTGTAGTTATGGTGGTGACATGCATGAGGTGGGCTGGTAGTGCAGGAAGCTCTGTGATGTCAGAGCATCCACTGGGGGTGGTGATGAAGATGCTCTGTCTGTGGGCCCTAGAATTTAATGTGGATTTCCTCCTTCCTTCCAAGTTCTGAGATTCTTAAATGAGAGCTGGCTGTCTCTAGAGGTAAGACCTGGAATGGAGCCCCAGTTGGTACTTTTTCACTCCCTCTTAGAATCTCTTATGAAAAAATGATCAGAAGGAAAAGTGGGGTTTTGTTTCCCTAGCTAATAATATATCCTACAACTAGCCAAATGCACTTTTGTGAAAATGGGGTGTGAGGAATGGTTCTGCAGCTTGAGTCCTCTGGTTTTAAGTAGTTTGTTTCTACTTGTTTAAAGAATCTTCTGGTCTGACCACTTAAAGTAAAAACCAAATGATTTATTTTAGGGCAATTATGTTTAGCTTTCATCATGATACTCCAACAGACCCCTGTCGGAAGGGGTATGTTTTTTTAACAATAGTGTTTGTAACATTTTGTTGTGTCAATTAAAGGGTCACTTGTTTGTATTGCAGTAAACACTGGGACCAGTTCTGGGGTTAATAATTAATTTTTGTTTTTAATATTTCACATAAAAAGAATCAAAGTAACTGTAATGGCTAGAAGATACCTGCCAGAAGATAAAAAAAAGAATGAGAGAAAAAGCCCAGTCAGTGGTGTGCCAACTTACTTCCTTTAAATGTCTCATGGATGTAGGACAGTGACTTGTTTCAAGATGCCTGTGAGCTAGGTCAAGATGTATAGAATGTTACTTATGAACAAAATATAATTGTTTATGGTAAATTCTTGTACTTTAGCAAATCTGGAGTTAGTTCATAGTCAAAGTCAATTAATATTTCTTACAGGAAACTTTTGCTTTTTGTGGCAACATTTTTATAGCTTGTGTGAGTTCCTTTTTTTATTTAATGATTTCAAAGCAGTATTTTTGCACAGTTGTGACCGTGTGTGGTGGCGTCACTGTAACCAAAGTATATGCACCAGCCCTTGTGCATTTATTGTTTCTCCTGATTTTGTGCATTTAAATGTCCAAATGCAAACCTTTGTGACTTCCTCTGGAGGACTTGGCAGCACAGCATGCCCCCGTGACCTGCCTGCTGTGGTATGAGCTGTGACCAAGAGCAGGCTTCCTGCTCCATGGAGTCCTGAGTTGCTCTGGGATAGGGGATTACATTATGAAAACTAACCATGTGTAACAATAAATCTACCTTAGCAGAAAAAGTATGTTTGTTTTATTTTAATCTGTACAGTAAAGTGGAAATTATCAGTAATATTTTGATGAGTCTTCTTGCTAAATTGGCGTAGGTCAAAAGTAGCTTCCATTGTTTCAAGTTGTTCCCGTTAAGATTAAGGCAACAGACGTTAATACTCTCTAGGCTCCGGTCATTTGGTGGGAATTCCAGGGCACCGTAGTGGTTTTGCAGACTGAGGGTTTAGAAGGAAACCCTGGTTACTTCTGTTGATGCAGTCCACTGAAGTACATGATAACCCAGCAGACCCCACATTCTCATCCCTTTCTTGAATCCTTTAGGGTCTACAGTTACTTGCAAAGTTGAGGAAGGCATAGTTGCTGGAAGACTGGTGGGGAGGTGAGGCACCCCTAAGCCTGACACTCTCCTACCCCAAGAAAGTACCACTCAACTATCTGGTCAGTGTGGGCATTTATCTTAATTTTGCAAGTATCTGCAGGGGAGAGGGGATGCCCCTGGGGAAGGGTCAGTCCCACTGACCACTGGGGCCTGAAGTTCTGGTGAGGAAGAGGACCCATGGTGGGTAGTGCAGGCTGGCTTATCCTACCATCCTATCATCGAGCCTTGACTTCAGGTCCTAAAGTATATTCACAACACTTCAAGTAAGTCAAAGCAAATGTTTTAAATGGTAGAACAAGCTGTCCCCGTCTAGGTGTCCTGAGTTGTTGATCATTCAAAGCCTAAATCAAGTGGCTCTTCTCAGAATCAGTTTCCTAATGAAGATGCCACCATGGTAGTTTAAAAGCTTAGTTTTGTCAGCCTTAGTTAAGACTCCACATACAGATTGCCAAAGGTATGCAGATGATTTTCCAAGTCCCATTTAGGATGATGTGATAGATCGGGGTCCCCAACCCGTTAGAAACTGGGCCCCACGGCAAGAGGTGAGCTGCGGCCAGTGAAGCTTCATCTGTATTTGCAGCCATTCCGTGTGGCTCACATTACCACCTGAGCTCTGCATCCTGTCAGATCAGCAGCGGCATTAGAGTCTCATAGGAATGCGAACCCTATTGAACTGCGCATGCACGGGATCTAGGTTGTACGCTTTTTGTGAGAATCTAATGCCTAATGATCTGTCAGTGTCTCCCATCACCCCCAGATGGGACTGTCAAGTTGCAGGAAAACAGGCTCAGGGCTCCCACTGATTGTACGTTATGGTGCATTGTATAATTATTTCATTGTATATTACAATGCAATAATAATAAAGTGCACAATAAATGTAATGTGCTTGAATCATCCTGAAACTATTCTGTCCCCCCACCTGTGGAAAAATTGTTTTCCACAAAACTGGTCCTTGGTGCCAGAAAGGCTGGGGACTGCTGTGCTAGATGGTCCTCTGATCTGTGTGGCTCTCTCAGTGACATCAGATGAAGTATTGTTACTCCCGAGTACATGAATATCATGATGCTTGGTTAAATTAACAAGTACCCATCTTGTTTCCCAAAAATGAACTCCTTGGAGTGACAAGGTTTATTTAACAGGTTAAAAATTAAATTATACACTCAAATTTACTTGTTTGGATAATCACCTACAGCCAAATCACTTATCTGTAAAAATCACCTTAAATGTCTCCACCACACGGCCAATTTTTTCCAAATGACAACAAAGAATTTGGTAAAACCAAAGGGTGCACATCCCTTTGAAGTTTGGGCTACAGTATTTCACAGAAAATGGTTGGAAAATGGTTGAAGTAAGCTCCTAAATGGCCCTTCTTGAGGCTCTGGGAGAGGCAGTGTGCCAGTACCTGGGCACTTTCCTCATTACACACTTGGGACCAATCCACTCAGAGGGTGGCCTCGCTTCCACTCAGCATGGCTGTGCTTGGACTTGGAGGAATGGAGCAGATGCTGTAGGAGGTCCTCTGTAACCAGTTTCCTACAGGGTTAGGTTTCTCTGTTCTCAGAGACAGAGAAATGTATATAGAAGTTATATCTTTGATGCCTACTTTTTACATTGAAAAAAGTGGCAGAGAACTTAACCACACTTACACATACCCCAGCCTGGTTGCGGCCTGCACATGAGCAGAGGTCAGGATTTCTCCTCTCCAGAATCCCACTGCCAGAGACCAGCTGGGATCCAGGCAGTTAAACAGCTTAATCCTAGGACTGTATGAAATAAAGGCTTATGGACCCTGATTTTACATTTCATTATTCATGTAATTAAGCAAATGATATGTTTCAATTAAGAATCCTATTTCTGCAGAACCTAAATTATAACAGAAATAGATCTTTAAAAAATTGCAAAACTACTTTTACAAAGCAGACATTTATTAACACCATTTTTTTTGTAGAATTTCTAAAGAAACAAATTCAAGACAAAAATCCCTCCAGTAGGTAACAAAATAATCTATTGTTTCAATTCCTTCTGATCAAGTGACTTTATTCCATAAAACAGTACATCAGCTGGGTAGGTTCAGTCTCCTCTGGATGTGTGACAGTCATTATTTATTTGTTCTGTAAACATAAGTAGGATACAGTGACATTGTCATAACTAAATTTGAAGTAAATTAGTATTGTGACCTCCAAGGGCAGGTGTGAAACATGTTATCAGCACCTGAAACACCTTGTAGTGGTTTCACTAACATAAGTTAAAACATAAGCACTTAGGAAGAAAGTCTTCCGTCATTAATTTCTGACATAGTGCAGCTACATCTTCATCCTGGAACTTACGGACAAAGTACCTTCCTCTTAGAAAATCAAAGTGTTTTCACAGCAAGTTTAATAAATTAAAAATGTAGAGAAAAAAGGAACTAGTGAACAAAAGAATTCTCCAAGGTTCCCTTTTTAAATTAGTATGTTTAAATGTTACATGTGAATCAAAGCATTTCACAAGCACATGGCACATACTCAAGGCCCTAGAACCAAATGTCAACGTTTAGCAAATACAGCAGAATTTGTCTTTTCATTGTGAATTTTTTAAAGCAATAATTAAGTCCTGCATGAAACAGCCAAAGGAGCATTTGAGACAAAGTTACTGGTTCTTCACAATCAACTCTTTAAGGCATAATCGGAGGTAAGTGTGCTGAGACTTTTGGTCCCTTCTGCTATGTTCTCATATGCTCCCAAGGAAACAGACATGTCAGTTACTTGCCTGTTTCCATCTCTAGGTGTGGAAATGAGAAGTCTGGGTTTCTGGAAATTACAGAAATCAAGTCAGAAAAACCTGGCAAAAATATTAATACTCTGTTCTACAATTTGCCACAGTCACCTCATTTTGCAAATAAAATGACTACACAACTTTCAAGTACTCTAAAGCATCTTAATTTTTCACGCCTCTGCAAAAAAATACTATATTGTTTTGCTAGACTCTTTGGTAGGACAGCTTTTACCTAATCTGATTTTTTTAAGACTGAAACTGAACAGCCTCATCTCATTTCTAATGAGATTTTAGACAAACTCATTTGATTTTATGACAGACTTCCTAGCTGCATATGTGCTGAGATTACGCTAGCAGTTTTGCGGTGTTCAATCTGTCATACCTTGTTTACTGCCTACAAATGGGGGGTGGGGAGGAATTAATGCAACCATCCATTTCTTCTGTTGCATTTGAGGGTCCCCACAGAAAATCAGATTTGCTTCAATTCAACAGGGAAGAAATGGCTGAAAATATGTGGCCCCAGTTTTATTTCAGCTTGGAAGAAAAATACCTTAAAAGTAGTTATGAGAGAAGTAAACCCACATGGAAATATAAGGCAGGGTGAGAAGCCAGGAAGACTGCTAACGACAATATCAGGAGCTGGTTCAGTGCTCTGTACTCTGCAATTAAGACCAGCAGTTGTCTAAACAAGATAATCAAGAATTAGAACGATTAACATACACCCTACACCAGAATTAAGTGAGGTTATGTTCACTGCCTTGTTTGTCAATAAAGTAGCTGAGATCATGCAGATCAGGATTTTTGAGGGAAAGCTTTTAAAATGCTGTGATAAAGCCGTGCAAGTTAGCAGAAGTTCAGGAAAATCTGCAGAGGCCGTTCTTGCCCACATCTTTGCAGGTGAACAATTGTTTATCTTAGCCCCACATCATCTTGAGTTCAGCTACCACACACGCAGACTAACAGGATGAGAACTGCTTGAAGCTCTTATTCCATGTTGCTCAAAGAGTGAAGCTGTGTGGGCATCGAGTCTGTCTGTGGGGTCAACTCACTAAGCTCGCTGATGGTAGTGGCCAGCAGGGTGTCCTGGGACACCACGGAGTCATCTGACTTGCAGGCTGTGTCTGCAGAACTGTTCTCCTGCATGGTAGGTACAGTGCCTTGGACTGCAGCCAGGTTGTGGAAATGGCCATTTTCTGCAAAAGACAGCAATTTATCCGAAAGTTTGGACGACACATACTCTTCGTCAGGCTGTTCAGTCTTGTGTCCGTCATCGTTCTTGGGTGAGCCATCTACAATGACAAGGAAAGACTTCCATGGAGTATTCTTATCGTGTATCTATAAGTTAAACACAAAACAAAAGTCACTGAATGTGTCTCTGAACAAGTGCATCTTTTAAAACAACAGTCCCTCTACACCTTCAATTTTCAACTTTCACTAATAAGTACCCGCCTGCCGCCACCCTCACTGTTACAGAGTAGTCATCGTGGATTGTGCTTTCCCTGGGCCTTGGGGCTTCATTCACTCCGTGAGTGTTCCACTGCAGAGACAACCCAAGGAGAAAGTACCTGTTGTCTCGTAACCACCTTGGAGAATGGTGGTAGGTATTTCTCTTTAGGGTTCCGTGTATCTAAGGGCAGCAGCTTGTTTCTCAAAAAAGCCAACCCATTGCTTACTGAGGTGTGCCGCCGAAGAGTGGACTTGTCGGTAAATGTCCGTCCGCACGCATTGCACATGAACGGCCTCTCCCCTGTGTGGATGCGGCGGTGACGCTGGAGGGCGTTGAGCTGGGTGAACTGCTTGCCGCACTGGTCACAGCAGTAGGGACGCTCCCCTGAGGCAGGGAGAAAGGAGACTGCTGGTGGGTCTCTTTGGCCTACTG